AGCAGCTGCGGAAGCCTCAGAGGGGCGGAGAGCGGGAGGGGCGAGCGCAGAAGAAGCAGGCGGGAGGAGGAGGAGGAGGAAGTTCTGAGGGGCTGCAGGGTTTGCGAGGGATGCGAAAAATCCGGAAGGCTCTAGGAGGGGGGTCAAGCTCCTGCGGAGGAGGAGAGGGATGAAAGAGAAAGGAAAGACGGCAAAGGGGGAGGGAGGAAGGGAAGGTGGAGAGGGAACGGGGGGGTGGGAGGAAGGAGGGAGGGACGAGGGAGGAGGGACGAGGGAGGAGGGACGAGGGAGGAGGGACGAGGGAGGATGGACGAGGGAGGAGAAAGGGAGAGGGGGGGAGGAGACATCTCGCCTCGGTCGGTCGACATCGTGCCCAGCAGCAGCAGGGGAAGGAGGAGAGAGGGAGGAGGACGAGGAGAGCCGGGTCGGTCAATCGGTGGGTCGATGCAATCGCGTGACTCAGTCTGCTGAGCTCTGACGGGGGGGGCGAGAGCGACAACAGCGGTCCCCAGCCCAGGGAGGACCAGGTCGGGAAGCCCCGACAATCCAAACAGTACGCCTGGTCCAAGTCCAAGCTATACCAGCTCTCCTCTGCATTTCCCAGCAGTCTGTGCTGCCACCCCCCCCCTCCCCGCAAGGTGGCCCCAACACCCCCAGCAGGCCCCCAAGAAGTCCCCCCGAGGACCCGAGAGAAGCCCCACGGGACCCTTGAAAGGCTCCCACGAGGCCGCCCCGAGGCCCCCAAGAAGCCCCACAACAGGCGTGACGGAGTGGGAAGACAAGTCAGCAACAACTCTGCGCAGGAAGCACGACAGGAAGCGGCTAAAACACGACGCATGAAATCGGAAGCCGTACGCATTCTCTCCTGGGGGGTCAGCGGAAGGGCGCAAACCTCTGGAATAAAACGCAGCACCCCGCGGTTGCGGACAATAGTGAGGAGGCGGCGGGGACGTCGGCAATCTTCGAGCTGGCCGCAGGCGGGTACTTTTCACAAATGATACAATCAGCCCGCCGCAGGCGCCGATTTTCTTCGCTAGAACAACGTAGGTGGGTCGCGGGTGGGTCGCAGATGGGTCATGGGCCGGGTCACGAGTGGGTCGCAAGTGGGCCGCGGGCGGGTCGCGGGGTGGGTCGCGGTGGGTCGCGGGCCAGGTCGCTGGGTGGGTCGCGGGTGGGTCGCGGGCCAAGTCGCGAGGGGGACGACGACAACGACAACGACAACGACAACGACAACGACAACAACAACAACAACAACAACAACAACAACAACAACAACAACAACAACGATAACAACAACAGCAACGCAACAACAAGCAAAATCCGCTTCGCGGACCGCCGCGGAGTCCCACTTCAGCCACGCACCCAGGGAGAGTCAATGACCTTTCGGCCCCCTCATTCTGACCATCGCCCCCGCAGTTGTGGATAAGAGTGAGAGGGCGGCGAGGGTTGTCCGCAGTCTGCGAGACTCTGATGAACTCCGCCGCAGGCGCCGGCTTTTTACAAATTATACAACGAGCCCGCCGCAAACGCCGAACTTTTCGTCAAAAGGATGTGCGTGGATCGCGGGTGGGTCGCGGGTGGGTCGCGGGTGGGTCGCGTGTGGGTCGCGGGGTGGGTCGCGGGGTGGGTCGCCAGTGGGTCGCGGGCGGGTCGCGGGCGACGTTCCACGTTCCACGCTGATGCGAGCGCTCGTCAGTTCGGGCGCTGGCCGCGAGCACCGAGAGGCAAGCCTCTCAACAGAAAGGAAAGGGCGGGTGCTCAGTGCAGCACCGCCCGCAAGGAAAGAACGAGCCCCAGATAGGGGCAAGCAGGCGGTGGGCTAACCCCCAGGGTCGGCCCACCCTTGCTCGCCCCTATCGGGGCTCGCGCCCTGCACAGACACGGTCCAGGAACCACCGCTGGTCCTTGGACATGCGTCCCGTGCAGGCCTTAAGCAGGGCGCGCCAGCTCGGCGCCTCAATCAGCGCGTGGGCTCCACAACGTTGACAGATCAGGTAGCGGCCAACAGCCGCGACCTGGTGCTGCAAGAAATGGAAGACCGACGGCGGGGCGACAGCTTCACCCTGCTCTCCCTCGAAGCCGAGGGCCTGCCACGCTCGACGCACCGCCTCACCTCGCGCCCTAGGGAGGACGCCCCCGAGGCGGTGGTGTCGGACAGCAGCTAAAAACAAATGCAAGTCGGTCGGCCTGCAGACCGCGCTTGGCTGCTCAAGCCTGGCTCGGCCTCCTGCCGACTTCGCGATACTGTGGCACCATGTGCACCGCACACCTCCAGACGGAATCGTTTCGAGGTCGTGGGCCATCAGGGCCACAGGAGGGGCCGTGGAGTTTCTCGGCCTGGCAGGCGGCCTCGGCTCGGGGACCGAAGACGCGGCCACGAATTGGGCCGCCCGCGAAATGAAATCAAGATTCAGCTTGGCCTCGCTGAGGCCAACTCTGACTGCCTCGACTGCACTCTCGGCCGCTCGGATCTGAGCAGCACCCATCTTCGCGAAAAAATCCGCCCACCCGTTCCCAAGGAGATCGGACTCACGCGAAACACCAGCCTCAAAAAACGACCACTCGCCCTCCAAAATCTCGTCCAGATCTCCATGGGCGGGGGTCCAACGGAAGGAAGGTCGTTCCTTCGATCCGACGATTTTAAAAATTTGCCTCCAGATTGACGCGTGCTTGAACGCTCCCGTCGCCAGAGCAGGATCCCAACTGTTGCCCTCTGTCACTGCCGAGCGGTGGTCCGAGACCAGCTCAGCTCCAGGGGGGACCACCTTCAAAGCTTCCAAGAGGGCCTGCCGTTCGGCTCGCGGCACCGTCTGGCACCGCCCCGCGAGGCCTCCATACAGGGCCCTGATCGGCCATCCACGGGCCGACATCTCGACAACCGCCCAGCCGCAGCGGGCCATCTCGGGGACTCCGTTGGCGTGGCCAGAGCCGTCGGTATAGACACGTTTTCCCCAAGGAAGGTGGGTGGCCCCCCAAGAAAAAACAGGCAGCACGCTCGGGACTGGCTCCAAAACCACAGGCTGAAACGGCAAACCGTAAACCAACTCAACCGAATCGAAGTCGGGGGGGATTCCTCGAGCCGAGTCCTTGAGCAGCTGCCGTCGCTTGAAACTTTCCTCTGGCAATGCGGGCCCTGCCTCTGGGGCGTCACCCTGGCGCCAGAGCTCCTCACATTCATACCAGTGATGGCCGAACGTGCCTATCTGCTGCTTGCAAAACTGACAGAGGTTCGAATCGGCCAGACCATGACTAAACTTCCGAGCTGGCGGCCAGAGCCCCCCTGCTAGCAAGGCCTTCAAAGTCGCGCGCCTCTTAGGTTCCCTCACGGAGTTTACCGCGACCCGCAGCGCACGACCCCAAACAATCTCCTCGCCAGAAGCTTCGGGGATGGCCGACACAAGCTGAATCATCTGCGCCCTGTTGATACCCTCGATAAGCTGGCGTTTTAAATCCCAAGGCGAAACGTGGCAAAGCGACAAAACAGCTCCCTGGTCGGTACGAATATGGGTCGGTCCCACAAGGGCCCATCCCACACGCAGCAGGCTCAAAAAGACGGCTCCCACGGGCCCTCGAACATCCTTCCAGAGCGGTCTGTTGGCTAGCCGTGAGGCCGCCGCGTTCCACGCATGCCAAAGATCTACATCACTAGCACGACGGTCCCAGACCCAGCAGCAGTATCGAAAAACAAGAGGCACTGTAGCATCGACTAGTGGGTCATAGTTCTCGTCACGGTGCGTGCTGAGAAACGCCGCGACGTGCATGCGGCCTCTAGCTCCTGCAAGCTCGGCCGCCACTGCACGCAGGCTCCTGAGGACCTGATCCGAGACCCCAGAGACCGCCGCACCGTGGGCCCCACAGGGCATGAGCCCAGTCCGCCAGAGCATGGCCACCTTAGGCCCCGCGGCTTTCTTCAGGACCCGAAGTTTGGCCCGACGCCCCTGGAGCTTGGCGACCCTGGCTTTTTCAACTTTGCGAATTACACGCCTACCGTACAAATCATGGCCCAAGTTGCGAAGATGAGCCTTGCTGTGAAACCCTATCATGCGAGCCGACAAACGAACTTCTTTTTCTGCCGCAGTCGTGCTCGCGAGGAACCCAGACTTGTTTGGCTGAAGAAGAAGACCAATCGGGGCTAGGAGGTGGCACAGCTCTCGCGTCGCAGCGAAGACTAACTCCCCTCCTTTGGCGGTCTCACCACACCATTGAAGGGATATATCATCCATGAGGGCCCTCGGCTTAATAGACGGATACCTAGCGACAATCTTTTTGACAGGGTCTAGCAGCACTGCAAGCATGTTGGCGCAGGCGTGCGCACAGCCTGCTAAAATGCCCTGAAAAGAAACGTAATTCTCGCTCAAACTCCCGTATGCGTCGATCCTACGGGGCGCCACATAGCTTTGAATCAACATCCAACCTAATCGAAGGGGGAATCCCACTCTCCGATACACGTCAAAGAGAGCCGAAAGCTTGATCATTTCATAACACTTGGCCATGTCTAGGAGCACGCTGATCCAGTGCAGGCCCTTTGCTTTGGCAACTTCAGCGGAAAGGTTCAAATCGAAGGCCGAATCGCTCGCACTCCTCCCCTTCCCGCTACCCCAGAACTCCTCCGTCCTATTGGCACGCTCCCAGGCCTCGCTGATAGGCCTGCGGGCTCGCGCCCACACTCTGATGAACGAGTCTAGGAGCGCAATTAAACGATGTCCCCCGTCTGGCTTGGCAAGACGGAAGAGCCTGCTCACAATCCTGTCTTTTGGCCAGCAGAGACGACGCTCGCATTGATGCAGCAATGATGCGAAGGCCTCAAGGGCCTGGTCTGAAAGGTACTGAAGCGAGCGAGGATGTATTTTACAACACCCCACGGCCGTGGACACAGGGAACTTCAAAATGACAGCTCTCAAGTCAGCCACCGAAAGCTCAGGGAGTTCTTCCCAAGACTCGGCATCGCCAGGGATCTCAGGCCTCGCGCACCCGTGAGTGGCCCAAATAAGCCCCCAGTC